ACTCTGTTTATATGCTCTTATTTTTTAATATTTACTATATAGCCATGTCAGCGATTACAAAATATTTTTTAGTACAAAGCCCAGATGTATAAAATTTTTTTTTTTTTTTTTTTTTTACTGGGACAGGGGAGGACCTGTTCCCCAGCTACAATTTCTGCTCAGGAATTTGTAGCAGTCAAGGCACGAGGGCTTTGTATCCTCAATGTAGGTTGCTTTGTCAGCAAAGGATCATGAGTTTTACCTAGTCTCTTCTGTCCAGTCAGTCATTCTGAATTCCAAGTAGTAAGCTTTCTGCATAAGTTCAATTTTTAGTAAGTTTCTCAAAGCTATTTCAAGACTTATAGCCAAATCACCTCCATTATGAAACAGTCCTCCTGACCCCATTTGTTTTAGGATTTAAGACCAAGAGGAACAATGTACTATAAAGTAGAAAATCCTGTGAAAATGTATTACTAAGTTAAAACTTTCAAAGATTATGGGTAAGATTATGTATCCTGTTTCTTCTGATGACACCATCTTGCTAGCCACTGAGGCCCTAACTCTGTTAGGGGAAGATTCTAAGGCTTATCATTTTGGAGAGGTGTAATATCTTTATCATCTAAAATGTGATAAGACTTGGAATAAACTTGTTAGATTATGTTCTATTTAAAATTCCTTAAAGTAATAGACAATAAATGATTTTAAAAGGTAAAATTATATATGAATTTTAGGCAATGGCTTTACTTCCATTTATTTACTCAATTATTTATCCACTCAACAAAGATTTATTGAGTGCTTGTTATGTACCAGACACTGTTCTAGGTACATATTTTGCAGTGGGAAATGATACTCAGTTTCTGCTTTTATGGTGTTTAAAATTTATTAGGGAGGTAGATGTGGAAACAGGCAATTTCAATGTTGTGTTAACACAGGTTAACACTCTGTGTCATGGAAACAGACAAAGAGCACCCAACATCATCTAGAGGAGTCAGGGAATTCTTTCTGGGAGATGTGACAGTTAAGATCAGACCCAAAAGACCAGTAGAGGTTCACCAGACAATGTGGGGAATGGTAAGATGCTGTTTCAGATCATTATTTATTTTCTTTGCCTTGAACTGTATCACCACAGCATCTATCATCATCACCACCATCATCATCATCATCATCACCACCATCATCATCATCATCACCATCATCATCATCATCATCATCATCATCAATAGCAGTGATATTGTGGAAAAAACCTAGACCAGTAGTCAGAAGACCTGGTTTCTAGAAGAGTCAAGATCAGATATCACTGAGATGGATTTTCAGTCTGTAAATTTAGGTATGTAAAAAATACCCATTTATTTTTTATTTCTGAATCATAGTCACTGAATGGTAGACAAAATCACTCCACTGTACTTTGAGGTTTTTCCCTACTTCTCTGGGGTTATGGTAAAGTTCTACCTGGAGGGGGGCTATTGATTATGTGTACATAATCGCTTACTCTGAGACATGAGTTGTTGTGTCTAGATAGTTCTTTCTGGTTTGGCAGCGATTTGCTACTTCCAAGACATGGATTTTTTCCCCCCCAGAATTTCTTTGACTCTTTTTACTTAGATGCATTATGACATCATTCCTCTCTGGGGTCTTACTGGCCTGGGGCAATGCTGCCAGGAAGCAGAGTTTAGATCCCTGCTATCTTGGGACCCAAAGCCTTCTCTCTCTTTTTTTCAGCTGAGAAAGTGTCTTCCTAGACTTGGGAGGGGCTATGCGATATCTCCCTCTCCCTCTGCATATAACTGAGAATCTCTTTTGTCTTTATAACAAACTCTTCTTTTATTCTGAGGTCTTAGGCTTTAGGAAAGCAAAAAGTAGAATAACTTAAAAATCCTTCTGTTTTCTGTCCTGGCAAATACCTCCCCTGAGGCAATCAAGTATAAACCAAGTTACCCGCTTGAATGAGAAGAAAGGAATGGGAAAATTTAGAGAAAGGAGAACATTCACATCTCAAAATGCCAATCTCCCACATGTACAATCAAGTTTACATGTCTTCTTAGGATGAAGCCACCAGGTGACCTCCTGAAAATCATGTAATCCTTTTGAACTTCAGTTTCCTTTTCTAAAAGGGGTTTAATACCTTTTACTCCCATAATATATGTTGTTTCTTTTCCACCTCAAATATGATAGCATATGTGAACTTCACTTTTGTAAAGTTAGATAGTGATAGAATTAGGACCAGAAGCTCACCCAGTGCTCTTTTTTCACAGTATGAGTATGGTGTTCTTTGAACAAGTGAATGGCATTATGTTGCAGCGGAAAGAGCCCTGGATGGAATCCAGTCTTTACCACAGCTTGCTGTGTTATCGAAAGAAAATCCACAGATTGAACTCCAAATTCCTCATCTTAAAACATAACTATAGTAATAATACTCACCTCTTAGGATTATTATGACAGTAAAACTATCTAGTCCATGTAAAAATTGTATTGTAAATAGAAAAGTACTACATAAATGCTTATCATCAGAAAGAATACTTTTTTGTTTTTGTCCAAGGAGAAGGAAATTTGTGTTCAGAGTCAGAGTCCCCTTCCATTAGTGGTCTGGATCCTGCTTTCTGGTCAGCTTTGGAGCAAGCCTGCCTAGATATGGCGAGGACGCCTCTGTTGACAGACAGGAAATGCCTTCCGGTACTATTTTATAGATTATGATAACATTTCTTAGGAGTATTTTTTCTCTGTCAATGATACTAAAGCAATTTGTAAACCATCCAGTATTTACAAAATGACTGCAGTCTTTAGATCTGCTTTAAGTCTGTCCAGACATTTTCCCCACAATTTAAATTGAAGTTTTATTAACTTTTTAAAAATTTTCCTAGTTTGTTACAACTGGAACGATGCGTATTTCAACATTCAGTTGAAATGCAGTTTGCTGTTTTCTTCCTTTCTATTTATCATCACTTAATCTTACACTTTTTCCCACTGTTCTCTTCAATTCTAAAGAAAGTCTGAAAACATGGCTTTCTGAAAGGTAGTAATGTAAATTCACCATTTTATACTAATATCTCTTTGTTTCAACAGAGGAAATATTCTAATGAACAGGTGTTTGTTGAAGTATATTAAGTATTTTTCTTTGGGGGGGAGGGTGTTGAGAAGATAAATTATTGCTAGGGACAATTACAGAAAAAAGTCAAGTTCCAGAATAGCATAATACATAAAAGTATGGGCTTTGGTGGTAGACCAGAGTTCGAATCCCGGTTCCAACATTTACTGGTTGTGTAGCCTTGGACAAGTTACTTCATGTCCCTCAATTTAAGTTTCCTCATTTGCAAAATGTGTATAGTTGTGTTTCACAGGGTTCTTGTAAAGATTGAATAAGGTGATCTATGCAGAATGCTTAGCATTGTTTAACAAATGCTAGCTAGTCTTATTAATAGTGAAATGACACCTTTGCTTTATCACCTTGAACTGTAAATTTTAATATTAAAAAGCTTATTTATAAAGACCTGGTACAAAGGTAACTTTTCTATTGGCATTCATTTTATTATTTTCATATGAATATAATCAATTTATAAAATAACAAAAACAATAACATCAACAATAAAAATTCAGCTAATAAAATATTTTTATTTGCTAGTCATAATGTCTCATAACTAATGGTCAAAATTGGGACTGCAATTTTGCATATATTCATTAAAAATGGTATGAGAGAAAAGAAACCTAATTATTCTTGCTTGTTTTAATTGACATATATCACACTGTAGTTAAGGTGATCTTTTCAAAACTTTAAAAAATGGCCATGCTTATCTTCATTTAAAAACCTTCCATCTTAGGAGGGGGGTTGTCACTTCAAGGGGTAAAAAGTATAACTATTGCACTGTGTTGTACAGCTGAAACTAATTCTAAAAAATGTGTATTTCATAATAAAAAATAATTTAAAAAAAAACAAAAACCTTGCATCTTGTCATTCCTCCATGGGTATAAGGCCAAACTTAACATGGCATCAGCTTATTTCCCTGCCTTCGTGGCACCTGGTACCTCATCATAGCATTATTGCACTCTAATTTAATCTTTTACTTTGTTGAAATTTCCTATTTAATTATCTTCACTTTTAGACAAAAATTTCTGAGAGGGTAGAATATTGCCTATCTTGTTCAGTATTGAGTTCCTAATGTCTGGAACATAGTAAGATACTCAATAAATATTTGATTAATAAATGAAAGAATTTATTATTTCTATCTGTCAGACTTTTAAAGGTGGAACCATTTTCATTTATGTCTTATGAATACAATTTTTATATTAATAAACCCATGTGAAAATTAGTGATTCAATATTTAACTCTAGATTCTAAAATTCAGTGATACAATTTATATCTGATTGGTCGTTTTAATTATTTATTTTCATAGAAATATGCTCAACTCTTTCTGGAGGATTAGGGGTGGTATTATGGAGAGAACACTTACTTGGAATCAAAAGGTTTAGAATTAAGCTCTAAATCTATTATTTAGTAGTTCTGTGATCTTGGATAAGCCACTGTGAATTTCAGTTTTATGTATAACAGGCATAATATGACTTCTCAGTGATGAGAATCAGATAAGATAATGCATGTAAAAGTCTTACTAAACTGTAAAAAATGTTGCATAAATTTATGTAAAGAATTTCATTGTTCTAAATGCTTTGCTCTCAAAGATTTGTGTATTAAGTTTATCCTTTCCTCTACTATACTTTGATCTTAGTTTTCCTGACATGTACTCTATAATTCTTCTTTATTTTTAGTTGTGGCAAATAATTTTGTGTTATCCTTTCCTTCTTTCTAAAAGTTCATTTGTTAGCACTATTGCCACTTGCTGTTTCAAATTTAAATTACCTGTGCCAAATTATTTATAACTTTTGGTGATGCTATTCTTAAACCCAAAAGAGTTGAACCTTAATTAACAGACACATGATTACCTACAATTTCAATTATGTAACATTCACTATATCCTTTGCATTGCACATTTCATGCAAAAAATTTTATTCAAGAAATTATTTCCCCTCCTGTTTCCTCCTGTGCCTACCTTCAGGTAATCCAAATTTAGTTTCATTCTTTCAGGGGTTTCATTTCATAGATTCAGGAATCATATGAAGATAGATTTTCTTTAACGAAGAAAATAGGATTGAGGCCATTAGATTGGGGATTCAGTTGAAAAATTTGGACATCAGTTAAAATATTAGTCTTGACTTACTAGGATAATTATTTCAACGTACCACTTTATTCAATTTGTCAACTACCAACATCTGGCTAGGGATATTTGGCTTGTACAATAGGATCCTTGTATCTTGTTTTGTTTTTTGTTCTTTTTTGTTGTTGTTGCTTAATTTATCATTTTGCGTATGTAGTTTTAGGTTACACTCAAGCTCAAGCTTTCATTAATAAGATACAAGAATTTACGTAGAGAGCGATAAAGGATGTAATGGCATTGACCCCACCCAGGTGGTGATAAAAGGCAGCCACAATTCCAGCACTAGATGATGGCACTCAAAAGCCTACGTTGTCTGAGAGAGACTTGACTATATTTGACCATTTGTTTTTTATTATACTCTAGCATCTTGTTTTATGTGTCAGATTTTTCTCTTACAGACATGAAAGGCATAATAAGCTCTGTTGGTTTAGAGAACATCTAGCTGCTTTGAAGCAAAAGTGTGCTTCACTTAATAAATATGTGTTGAATGAGTTAGTGAAAGTCTCCTTACCTAGCAGACTACATTTGTGGATGTGGTTATGGAAAGGCTATTGATGCATTTCTTAAAATTTTATTAAATTTATTGGGGTGACATGGGTTAATAAAATTATATAGGTTTCAAGTGTACAATTCTATAATACTGGGTTGTCGGAAAAGTCATGATGTATTTTTTCTGTTTTTTGTTGCAAAAATATGTCATGACTTTTCTGACAACCCAATACATCGTCTTTGCATGTGTTCACCACCCAAAGTCAAATCTCCTTGTTCACCCTTTACCCTTATATACCTCTCCCCTCACCCCTTTTCCCCACTGGTAACAACCATACTCTTGTCTGTTTATGAGTTTTTGTTTCTTTGTCTTGTTTGATTGTTTGTTGCTTTCTATTTTATATCCCATGTAAAATCATACGGTTCTTGAATTATTTTGTCTGACATTTTTCGCTCAGCATGATGTTCTCAAGATCTATCCATGTTGTCACAAATGGCAGTATTTTATCTCTTCTTATGGCAGAGTAGTATTCCATTGTGTATCTATACCACATCTTCTTTATTCATCTATCAAAGGACAGTTTGGTTGTTTCCATGTCTTGGCCATTGTGAATAATACTGCAATGAACATAGGGGTTCATATATCTTTATGAAAAAGTGTTTTTACATTTTTTGGTTAGATACTCAGAAGAAGGATTGCTGAGTCATATGATAACTCTATTCTTAATTTTTTGAGGCATCTCCATACTGTTTTCCATAGCGGCTGTACCAATTTACATTCCCACCAGCAGTGTATGAGGGTTCCTTTTCCTCTACAGCCTCTCCAACACTTGTTATTACTTGTCTTATTGATAATAGCCATTCTAACAGGTGTGAGGTGGTATCTCATTATGGTTTTGATTTGCATTTCCCTAATAGCTAGTGAAATTTAGCATCTTTTCATATACCTGTTGGCTATTTATGTCTTCTTGGAGGAGGTGCCTGTTCAGGTCCTCTGCTCATTATTAATTGGATTGTTTGTCTTTTTGTTGTTGAGTTGTGCAAGTTCTTGATATATTTTGGGTATTAACCCCTTATCAGAGATGTTGCTTGCAAATTATTGATACATTTTTGAGAATTGACACAAGAATAAAAGATCAGAAAAAGTGAACACCCACAAAAAATGCCACAGAAGTAAAAAAGAGTTTAAAAATTATACTTGTAAAGAAAACCAAAAAAGATTTTATTGGGGAATTAGGGGAGGGAAACAGCATTGGGGAATCGGGGAAGGGGAACAGACAAGTTGCTGTCCTTTTGTTTTTCAGTCTAGTTGTGGAGGATGTCGCTTCACTGGCCCATGTTGGTATTGTAATTGCGTTCTTCCTGGGTGAGGCAGATCGGTTGCCAGCCTCTGGATGGCCACTCACGGTGGCTCTTGGCAGCTCACACCGGCTGCCAGCTGCTCATGCTGGCTGCTGGCCACACAGTAGCTTATGGCAGCCCACTGCAGCAGGGGTTGCAGCCTATGCTGTTGCCGGCGACTCACAGCAGCCCAGCTCCAGGTCGAGCTGTTGTTCAGCATCTTAGCTGTAGAGGGCAGTGTCACTGGCCCGCATGTGGGATCCGAACCGGGGCCCTGCTGCTCAGAGCTGGCATCCCAAGCCAGCTGTTAACCAATGCGCCACTCGGCCAGTCCAAAAATATTCTTGAGAATCAACTTACTATATGGAATTTACAATAAGAAGTTGGATATCTTATTGGTACATTTCATATTACACATCTTTTATATCAGTAAAATTTATAATATACTTATGGCTGCATTAATCACACTTTTTTTTTTTAAAATCCAGAGAAGTGGTTGTTAAACATTTACCAGTATATCTCTATTTGGAAGCCTAGTGAAGAAAGTATTTCAGGAGTGCAAGAGTATCAAATTCTGCTGTTGGTCACGTGAAATGACTGAGCATCAACCACTGGATTTAGTAATATGGAGATGATCGATCAGTAACTTTGGCAAAAGCTATTTTCATGGAATTATAGGGGAAAAAAAAGTCTGAGTAGAATGGTCTCAAGAGAGAATGAAAGGAACAGAGGTAGAAACAGTAAATATTTTAAGTTTTGCTATCGAGGGAAACACAGAAATAGGGGACTATAATTAGTTGGAGAGGAACAGATGATAAAGGAATGTTTTTAAAAAATCACTGATATTACAGTTATTTGTATGCTGGTGGAAATGATTGAATGGAGAGGAAACAGTTGATGATGGAGCAATGTCTCTGAGTAGGTGAAAGAGAAGAGGTTCAGGTGCCCAAGTAGAGGAGTTGGCCTTAGAGAGAAGCACACATATTTCATCCATAGTAACAGAAAGGAAGGAGAATAGAGGGGTGCGGTTACAAGGAAGTCAGTAGATGTTATGTTTAGAGCTTGTGGAAGTTCTCTTTTGATTTTCCATGAAATAGGAAGCCAGATTATCAGCTGAGAATGGCTGTGGGGAAGAAAGAGGTGGAAGGTTTAGGAGAAAGGAGATATGATAGAAAGTGCTCAATAAATATGAACTGTTGTGATTATAATTGGTATTTAGTCTGTGAAAGGATTAGACCGGAAGAGGGAGAGGGCTTTAACATTCAAAGACAATTAGTTGTCTTTGTGGTAATGATTGTGGTAATCATTTCACAATGTATACCTACATTAAAACTTCACACCTTAAATACATACTATTTTGTCAATCATACCTCAATAAAGCTGGAAGAAAAAGAATGAGCCTTAAAGCAGAGCAATTTTGATGAAGATCCGTCATATGATTTGGAAATATAAGGTAAGAAGAGAAGAGCTCTCTCTGGTCAGGTGGAGAAGCGCCAGGAACACCAAGAGAGACATTTGAAGGAGGTGACCTTCATTCAAAGTAAAGCTCTTACTCATGACAGAGTCTGGGCAAAGGATGAACTTGGGGAAAACTGATGATAATTCCAGTTGTCTTTCACCCCAGATGATACCCATAAGAAACCACTTTCATAAATGTGCCTTGCATATTAAAAGTTTGCATATATTAATTCCTCAGACAGTAACTCCTCAAACAGAGAGAGAACAAATAAAAAATATGTAAATCATAAAACCAGGAAAATTACCAATGTAGTGTTTCAGACTGGCCTGGTCACTTTAGTTGCTGCCATTTTCTTCAGAAGCTTTCTAAGCATAGTTTTACAAAACACAAGTTGGTGATGAAAGCAGTTGTTCACTGGTTAAGGTGAGTCTTGGCCTCCCTCGTAATGCATTCTAGGTCTGAGTACGTCAGTCACTGTATTTTATATTCTTTGTGGTACATAAGTATTGTGTAGTTAAAACCATGTGACTTGACATTTTCTGAATACATCGTCGTGTTGGAACAATATAGTTAAATCTCATTAAAAAAAAGACGTTTGTCGTCTATTAAACACACACAAAAAGACATTTGTCGTCTATTAAACTCTCATGACTTTTTCAAGGATATTTTGTGTTCTGAGGGATAAAAGCATGTATTCAAGAAGCCATGATATAACAGCATGTATTAAGAATGCCTATGGTATTTGTGTAGGCAAAATGGTTTGGAGAAAGGGTGATAGTGATTACTTTTAACTGTCAGAGATGGCTTTATGGAAGAGAGAGCATTTGTTCTAGACCTGCTACCCTGCTAAAGTAAATCCACCTCGTGCATTCTTGGAACTCTGAAGCTGGTTCCAGGGTGCCATTTATCTTCGGAAGAAACTTTTTCCTTCCTTCTTTTTTTTTTTTTTTCTAAGGAAGGCACAGCTCACAGTGGCCCATGTAGGGTTCAAACCAGCAACCTTGTTGTTCAGAGCATGTGTGCTCTAACCAACAGCCACCTGGCCGCCCCAAGAGAGAGCATTTGAGTTATGTCTAACTTAAGGGAAAGTAGGTTTTTGGTTGACTTGTTGATTGCTTTCTATATACTAGACATTGTACTAAGTATTGCATAATTTAATCCTACCACCTATGAGGAAACTAAAGCTCAAAGAGATTAACTTGTTAAAGATCACACACAGTAAGTAGATTTTAGACCTAGATCTAGCTGACAACAAACCCTTTCCAATATTGCACACTGATTCTAGGGAGAGATAGTGGTATGGGGGAGCATATTCCAATACAGGGAGCAGTAGGAACAAAGAAAAGTACAAAGGTAAGAAAAACGAGAAAGAGAGAGAGAGAGAGAGAGAGAGAGAGAGAGAGAGAGAGA